CCTATGGGAAAGCGCACAACCGAGGCCAGAATATCTGAAAATGCGCACCCAGCACGTTTGGGGCTTCCCCAAAAAACCACCTTGGAGGCCAAAATACTTGGAAAAAAAGCAATGCGCACCCAACACGTTTAGCATTTTCTGCAGGAAAACTGCAAGACGCGCTGCAGAACGCGTGTGAAAATCAATATGCGCCCAGGACGTTGTGTGTGTATATATATATACTATATGTCTCCTTAAACACCATATACAGATACGTACATATGTTTATTCATAAAACCGTATGTATATATTCCCAAAACAACCAAGAAATGCCTAAGCGTGCCGAGCTCCTGGGATCCCCTGTCCGAGGGAAAGGTGCCCGGCACAACGGGCAACCCCACCACCATATCCCCGCATCACGAAACCCTAAACTATTTAGGGTCTATGGGGTTTAGGGTTTAGGGTTTAGGGTCCCAAACCCTTAACCCTGAACCCTAAACCCCTAAACCCTAGTTTTCGGAGCAACCCAGTACCGTAGTTCGAGGTGAGAGCGCTCTGAGGCACCCTGCGGATCAATCAGGTCCGAGGCATCGCGTGAGGGCCGCAAGAGCGACAGCCCGTCTAAGGGCTCCAGCCTAGATCAGAGCAGTTTGGAGATGGGACCGCTCTCAAGGGACTAAAGGAAGGACCCTTAAAGAGGTTTTAGGGGTTATTTGGGAGCTACTTGTGTAAGGAATTTTCAGCGGTTCTATAGGGGAATAACATTAAGGGTCCGTCCCTTCTAGGGGTCCTTGCTTTTACTCCCCCTAAACCCTGAAGCCTAAACCCTAAACCCTAAACAACCCAAAGCAAGTGCTTCTTGTCCTAAGGTTTCGGCGCGAAGGAACTGGCATGCTCGTCCCAGAAGCTGCTGGCCCATGAGGCCAGGATGTCCTAAGACAGGGTTTAGGGTTTAGGGTTTAGGGTTCAGGGTTTAGGGTTTAGGGTTTAGGGTTTAGGGTTTTTCGGTTTAGGGTTTAGGGTTTAGGGCCAGGCACTTGCATGAACTGAGCTGCTTTCTGCTCGCACTCCTAGGTGTTTCGATGGCAGGATAGAACAAAGGCCAGTCTATCTGCTGCACAAACGAAAAAACTGGGGTTTAGGGTTTAGGGTTTGGGGTTTGGGGTTTGGGGTTTGGGGTTTGGGGGTTGGGGGTTGGGGTTTGGGGTTTAGGGTTTGCTGGGGTGTCCCTTCATCGTTGTTGGGGATGGGCTCACATTTGGGTAGTAGCAACATCGACTCACCAGACTGTGAGCAACACCACAGGCAGGTGAGGCTGTTGATACCTAAACCCTTATAAACCCTAAACCCTAAACCCTAAACCCTAAACCCTAAATCCTAAACCCTAAACCCTAAACCCTAAACCCTAAACCCTACTGCAACATTCCACTCCCCTTTTGGGGGCCTTCTCCACCTCGTCCGTCAGAGAAGAGCTCTCTTCCATCGACTTCAGGGCCAAGCCCTGGCACGAGGCACGATTCTGGGCTTAGGGTGAAGGGTTTAGGGTTTAGGGATTAAGGGTTTATAAGGGATGAGGGTTAAGGGTTTAGGGTTTAGGGTTTAGGGGTTTAGGGTTTGGGGTTTAGGGTTTAGGGTTTAGGGTTTAGGGTTTCCGGGCCCGTGGTGATGGTTAGCGCGCGGACCGTCCGTCTCGCGAGGCTGATGCTGAGATCCACGCAATGTCATGCTGCCCTGTATCACCACCTGCAGGGAGCAGACATGCCGGTTTAGGGTTTAGGGTTTAGGGTTTAGGGTTTAGGGTTCAGGGTTTAGGGTTTAGGGTTTAGGGAGGCAAGAATCTAAAGAAGGGCCTTCATTGTTTACAAGCCGCCTGAGACTGGCGCTGAGATCCAGACTTGGGGCCAGCAGCGTCTTGGCAAACTGTGGTTTCGTCGCATGGTCCTGCACGACCAACAACAGTTGGCGACATATCGCGCTGCGTTCGCCACGAGCTTGTGTAGTAAGGCATCCTTCTGGATGAGAAAGTCGCGAAACGTTTGGATGACTTGAGGAAAGGAGTTGCGTGCAGACCTCTGGTTCTCGCTCGAGTGTCGGCGCCGGCTGAGATCCGAGTATCTTGACACACGCACTTCTGAGATCGCAGCCCGTTCTTCGGGTCTGGGTTCCGCTTCCCGCCTGTCAGTCAGAAATATCTTACAAACCCTATCCCAAAAAAAACTCTAATAACCCTCCAAAAACCCTCCAAAAAGCCTCAAAAAAAAACCTCCAACAACCCTCTGGACTCCTATAAACCCTCCAGACCCTTCAAAACCCTCGCAGCCACACACCCGACAGGAGGTTGCGGCGGAGGCAACTCCGAGGCTCACACGATTTGGCGGGGCAACCAGGTGCTGCCTCTGCCTGATTCAGACAGAAGAAGAGCCGTTTGTACTTATAGGTAGGGGTTATACATATTATATATATATATATATACATATATATATATACATATATATATATATACATATATCTATATGTATAT